GGACCTTGTATAGATGGATTCAAGAATTGTCTACAAGTGCTACTCATGTCGAGCTCATTTGATGGTCGGAAGAAGATTTTTCCAATTGCATTTGCCATAGTGGAGAGCGAGAATACTTATAGTTGGCCATGGTTCATAAGACACGTTCACGATTTGACCGATCGAAACGATGTTTGCATAATCTCAAATACACATGATGGACTCTATGAAGCCATGAGTAACATCGGAAGAGGTTGGGAGTGGAGATAGTGCATGCGACACTATGCAAGCAACTTGCAAAAGAAGACAAAAAGCAAAATTATGTTAACCAACTGTTTCGAGTCGGTAAGTCTCTTCATCGTTATTGTTATTTATTTTTGACATCTTATTTATTTTCATTTAATATTATCATGAATTTATCTAACTCGTGTGGTTATTTATTTTGTTAGCCCGAGAAAAACGCTTGGAGAAGTTCGATCGTCAAGTTGAGCAATTTAAGAAGATGGTCGCTGAAAGAAATATTTCTTGTGATAACTGGGTGGATCAAAATTAACTTCGTTGGAGCTTACCACATGATAAGTATAATGGTAGGCGTCGATGGACTATGCTGACGACCAACATGGCAGAGAGCATCAATGGTATTTTCAAAGGTATTCGTTCACTTCCTATAGCTTCTCTTGTGCAACATACTTATTGGCGATTATTGGAGAAATTTGATAAGATTATTGAAAATTTGATAAGATTATTGGCGATTATTGAAAATTTTAGTTAATATATCAAATATTCCACACAACTATGAATTTCAAACAACTAAAATTTTATTTTGAAACAATAAATAACTAACCGCTGCGTTAACTCCTGCTACTCTCCGTGTGACTGCACGTCTAGTAACATATCAATACCACTCCAGATGCTTCGAGTGGTAGGCTAGAGTATCCTGACTATATGGCATAGTCGTTATATACTGATGTCGACGACTCCACAAATCAATCAACTCTCTGGAGGCATGTATCAACCGCTATCCTCGCGATGGTCCACGAACTGTCTAGAAAAGGAAATACCTAATCTCAGCCTCAGGAGCTGGATGATGAGGCTCATTCTGCATCATGTCAAACTGTTGGGGTACGCGATCTGGATGGTGCCACATCACTACTGAAAAGCAGATAAGTGGAACTACTACTCGCCTCTCTCCCAGTAAGGCAGCCACTACACACAACAAGTGGTCACATTATTACTCATTAATCTAAAACAAACTAATGAGAACTATTCTTGTATGAAATATTATATACTAATCACGATTGTCGACAACTCGTCAAAAAACAACTTATAACTGAAGAACTGGTCACCATGATGACGGGACATGGTTGGAAGCCATCGAGCACCACGTGGGTATGCGTCCTCTATAATAGGCTCATCCGTCACTGTATGTCGTGGTGCTATTAATGGAAATCGCTCCCACGCCCAGAGCTGTAGTAAGGCGACCCAGCCACCAAGGTCACCTCCTGTGGAAGAGGTCTGCATCATCTGCAGAACCGACCTACCCATCTTACGGTAAAGGTAGGCTAAAAGAGCTGCTCCCCAAGCGTAGCCTCCAGCTCTCCGCCATTTCTCCAACATGAGTAGATATTGTAGATGAACTATAGATCCAGTCCGAACGGGGAACAATATACCCCCATTAGAGATAGGGCATAAGCTCGTGAAAACTGCTCTGTAATCTCTGATGATGCATTTGGCGGTAGATGATTGAATTGCTCCCTGAGCCAACTAATCCTAACGACACTGCCGGAAAGATCAGTAGGAGCATGTCCTAACAATCTCATACACGTCGCCGACCACTCCTGATCTAGTATGTCTACTATGACGGCCTCACCGTCGATCGGTAGATCGCTTAGTGTGGCAACGTCCTCTAGAGTGATCGTAACCTCACCAAGCAGCATGTGCAAGGTCGATGTCTCAAGACGCCAACGCTCTACGAGAGCAGTGATCAAAGATGCATCAATATCAACTGTCATAAGGACCAACTGCTGAACGCTAAACAAACTGGCCTCCTACAAATACGGCTCATAACGTGGATGGTACGTGACCAAATTGGTATTAACTCGAATATGGTAAATGCGATTACCAGTCTATAGTGCACAAAACTTATATTAACTCAATTTCATGCGTAATTCTATTTTCAGTTCACCTAGTAAAATCTATCTAATCTAGTAAAATATATCTAGTCAAAACTAATACTAATTTCAAAAAATTTCACATGCAATTCTAATATTTCAGTTCACCTAGTAAAAATCTAAACATCTAATCTAACTAACTAATGAACTTTAATGAAATACTTACCTCGTTTTGCCAAACTGAGTCAACACGATATTGTCCATGTGCCCAAAGAAGTACCGAATCGTCTGGAGCTGGATCAATAGTCGTAAGTTGTTATCATTGAACAAAAATAATTTAACATAGAAATCAATCCATGATTAACTAAATCCAACACAAGTACGCAATAACATCATTCTACCATCAAATTTGATTAAAGAAGCAAAACAAGAATACGATACCCAACAACAATTACTCAGCTCATAAATCCCACCAAATTGCTTAAATATTATGGATTGTTGTTGAAATACAGTGTGTAAGCCCAACTTCTACTGTGCTCCTTTGAAAGTCTTTCCTTAACATTGTTCTCATTTGAACCTAAGTCACTATTACAACTAGGTAGGTAATGGATCTTGTCAGCCTTCAAACGCCCCATTATTTTTGGCCTATGCATGCGCCTCATCGACGCCTATTATCTTTTTGCTCTAATTATGAGGATGGTCGTAATCGGTTAACCGTTGGTTACTAACCGTTTGACCGTCGGTTATTAATTAGCTAAATTTGGCTACCGAGAACTAACCGTTTACTGTTTAATCGGTTATCGGTGTAACCGTTAACCACTGGTTCCGATTCTCTTATCGGTTACACCGTTAAGAGGATAACTGTCTACTAGCCTTATCGACCGTTAAACAATAGTATTATTTCAATGGTTAATGATATACCTGGTTATCCTTCTGATGAAATGTCAGTCGGTTGAACATGTTATAGTCGGTGTCGGTGATGAAACAAGTTTGATTATCATCGGTAGCGAATACATATTGTGCTTAAGATTGATTGTAAAAAGAAAGTTTAGGGAGTGTAGAATACCTTGCTTCGATTATGGAACTTAATCGATCCACGCATTTTGAATTCGAACCGAGCCATTATTTGTCCCTTATTGCATGGTGCTAGTGGTTTTCCTAACCATCCACAACAATATGAGGAACTCGCTCCATCAATTCAACACATAATCTTCATCCCATTTTCTCTGCATGCACTTTGAGCGATATCTACTTTACTTATAATACGCTGAAGGGGAAGCTTCCCCATTTCAAAATTGCTGCCTCCGGAGCGTTTCTCGGAGGGGTATTTTTGGAAACAAATATGTAGGCAACCCGTCTCGGCGCACACAAGGGAAAAGAGCCCTGGAGGCTGGAAAGGGCCCAGAGAGTGTTTCGGCCACAAAGAAAAAAGCGTTGTCAGCCAAAGCTTCCAAGCTGTCTCTTTCTGTTCTTAGTCCTTAGCTATAACCTTAGCCCCCTTATCTTGAAGATTTTTGACCGGTCCATTTTTCTGACCATCATTTCCATTCATGTTGCTGCTATGTATATACAGGTTCAGTTATGTCCATTTTCTTTGAGTGGAGCCAGCCCTCAACTCGCTCTCTTTGCAGAAGCACCCCTTGGATATATGGTTAGTATTGTACATTGCTTGCATATATGGTTAGTAGTGTGGCTATATGGATCTCTTTTACTTCCACTACTGTCAAAAAATCATCCACAGAAACTATCCTCTGTCTTTATATTGCAACAATATTAAAAAGCAAAACATGAATCTCTATCCTCGATCGGTTTTACATCCTCTGCATGGAAACTATCCTAAGATTATCTAAGTTAATATTTATCTCTCAAGAAACAATCAATCTCTACCCTCTGACTTTACATGTCCAAAGAAGTAAAAACATACTATATAAGTTAATATTTGGATCTTACGTTTTGCAGAAGCCTATATATATATCCACCCTTCACAAAGGAAATTCATCCTCAATCCATTGCCAGCGGTTTGAGTAATGACCATGAAGTGAGATGTGCATGCGGGCAATGAAAGCCAAACTGCTACCCAAATCAGTGATACAACCACTGAAGCACGTGGACTCAATCGTGTCAACAAGAATCCATGCGTTGCCTCAGGTATTGATGATGCAATGCACACTGAACTTCCCTGGCAAAGAATTTCAATCTAAGGAGTGCCCTGTCTTTAAGAGCTAGCTACGAGAGGAAAACTCCTACAATGTCAAATACTGATGATTGAGAACGGCTTTCCAGAACGAGTCAACTTAGACAATTCAGATCTAAGCTTTTGTACAACTTTGCAATGGATAAAGCAATGGGTGTGTTGGTTTATAATTGTTTAGTTGTTTAATTACTAAGTTAAAAGCTATATCAGTTTGTGTTTTCAAACAATATGCAGTATGTTCAAGCATGAAACTGCTTCTGTTTTTATCATGTTTGGATGTATGATGTCTCCTTTATTAAGTTGCAGTGATCTTTTTCTTTACACAAGTTGGGTCACTCGAATTGTTATAAAATTTCACGTTTGCCACTCAAATTAATTTATTCCATTTATAGTCACCCTAATTAGTTGAACAGTTCAAGTTCGGTCACTCTCCGTTAACCTCCGTTAACTTTGACTGACGTGGCAGTCAACTCTGACCGTTGACCGTTGAATGTGTGACGTGGCAAATAAAAAATAATTAAAAAATAAAAATTAAATTTTTAGAAATTACACATCAATATAAAAAAAATTATAATTATAAAAAATGAAAAAAAGAAATTATCACAAAAACTTGAACTGCCGCTCCGACCACTCTGTTTCCAGATCGGACTTCCAACGTCACCAAATTGGTCGTGTGCTCCCTTTTTTCATATGTACATGACATCATTCCCGCTGAGCTATAACTCGCTACAGAACTCGACGAACTGATAATTATTAGCGTCGGCGACCGAGCTCTGATCGTCGAAGCTGAACTGCGACGAGAAAACGTCGCTGGCAGATCCGTCGCTCACCGTTGTCGTCATCGAGTTCTGCCCGCCGCTTGTCCCCTGCTGAAACAACGGGTACCCATGAAACAAACCGTTACTATTATCACCTCCAAACAACCCGCTGATGTCAGGTCCGAAATCAGCACTCCCGCCGGCGAACCCCTTAGTATTGCTGCAACCCACCAACGGCGCTGCCGACGTGGCGGCGAAGCTGTCCAGAGATAGCCACTCGGCGAACATGAGCTTCGGCAGAGCAGGACTTGGTCCGCTGTAACTTTGCGGGTCCCACTGGTCGGCGGTGGAGGGCGGCGGTGAGTTTTCACGGAAGTGTGATGCCGGAATAAGTGTGGGTTTGTCCGGAGATGGGGAAGAATAATGGTCGGTTTTCACGACGGCGAGCGGGAATAATGGTCCGGAATTGAAGAACGGGTCGGTTTTCACGACGGCGACTGAACTTTTCATTCTGCAGTTCAAAGTTGGAAGGGAGGTCGGCGTCGTGCAGACTGTCGGACAGAGTATGTCTCGCTCTCTCGATTGTTTTTCTGCGCTCTGTGATTTGTTGTTTGTCATGTTGAATTTCATGGATTATGAAAACTTCTCAAATGGGATTGTTGATCACAGGCTAGTGATCAGTTGAGCAGATGGTTCGAAGATGATGACGCCCTAGAGCGTGCTCTTGATGGAGAGTACGACCCCTTTGCTCTTCCTCGTCTTCAACATGTTCTCTGAACTGCCCAATTCATGCTAATCTTTTTCTTACTTCCATTTTTATCCATGTTTTGAAGGTTGTTTCTTCTCCCATCTGGACATGAGGCAGCTTCTTCAGAACCTATTCACATGCCTCGGATTCCATTGAGTTTGGTTCTGATAAGAAGGTATGCTCTATCTCTTTCTCTGTGATTGATTATGGGATTGGATCTTGGTCAAGATTCAGAGTTTTTCTCTGGTACAGACCATGTTTCGGTTCAAGGTGCTGAGGTCATTTTTTATAATTATTTTTTTTTTTATAATGATGTGTATTTTTTAAAAATTTAATTTTTATTTTTTAATTATTTTTTATTTGCCACGTCACACATTTAACAGTCAACGGTCAGAGTTGACTGCCACGTCAGTCAAAGTTAACGGAGGTTAACGGATAGTGACCGAACTTGAACTGTTCAACTAATTAGAGTGACTATAAATGTAATAAATTAATTTGAGTGAAAAATGTGAAATTTTATAGCAATTCGAGTGACCAAACTTGCAATTAAGCCATTGTTTAATTACTAAGTTAGAAGCTATTTCAGTTTGTGTTTTCAAACAATATGCAGTATGTTCAAGCATGAAACTGCTTCTGTTTTTATCATGTTTGTGGATGTATGATGTCTCCTTTATTAAGTTGCAGTGATCCTTTTTCTTTACACAAGTATTCATGCCTTTGTCTTAATACCATTTTCCCAGATCACATGTTCATGTGCTTATTTAGTAAGTTGGCTACTTTTTTAGCCTCTTTTTGGAGGGATTTGCTGTAGCTTGCAGCATAGAGAAAGGCTTGAATAAGAATTCGTAGATTCAATATTCAGCTCAGCTTCTCCGACCAACGGGTCGGGTTATAAGCTAGTGTGAACAGTAAGTAACTATGTGTTCCTTCAAATTGAAGCAAAGATGAAATTTTCTTTACAATTTTTACTTCAGAGTACGACTTTATGCAAATCATTCTAATATAATTCCTATACTTCGACAGAGCCTTTAAAATCGTTAAAAAGACTGATGCTCCGATATGGAGCTATCCGCTCAAATGTCTTCGTTAGAGGCCCAAACAAATCATTCTCGATAAACTCGTACCTGCAAGAAAATTTAACACAATGAACATTGATCTCTGCTACCAAACGACTCCCCAAGGCATTAGTAGTTTTGGGAAAGAGTCACAGAGAAGGGAGCTCACAGATTTCTGCAGAGGTTGTCAGTAGAAACCACAACAGCCTGCACCTTATCTCTCAAGTCCAGAACCCCAGCAACTAGAAACTCATCAAACTTCTCCTCCAGCAGCTTCGACAGCATCTCGACGTTAGCCTCCAGCAGCTGCTGTCGATCCTCGAACAATGTCTTGTTCAGGTCCATCTCCTTCTCGTCGCTCATCTCGTCTTTAAACAGTCCGCCAAACATGTAGTACGCGAATGGGTACGAGTGCGCGAGGATCCTCCTCGACCGGACCAGCCTGATGAACGCCTTGTGCACCCAAGAGATGTCCAGGGTCGACTCTTTGTCCTCCAATGTCGACACTTTCTTCATCATGGTCTGCTCCTGCTTCGACTCGAGCTTCAGTGAGTCGAGGTGGGCTTTGTACCTGTCGTAGTAGTGCATGTAGCGGTCGAGCTCCTTCTTGGCTGTCTCCGCTTTCTTCTTGTGGTCTTCCTTGTATCGCCCGCAGCTGTGGTAGGCGATGCTGTCCCAGGAGTGCTCTCTTCCAGTAGCAGCACCACAGAGCCAACTGCATCGAGACTCGAGAGTCAAACCCGAAGAAGAAAACGTGCCCCATCAGTTAAGTGTTTGAGAAACAGAAGCATATCACTGTAGTATAACGAAGAACATTGTTCATGTCAATTGTCGAGGTAATAACAGTTGAGGTGGATGGCTATGTTTAGCATTTCTATACTTTTAGAAAGTCCACCAATCCACTCCTAAAATCAGACATCCAACCTACAAAATTTTGAAATCCATGAGTTTCAAAACCCAGTACTTTTCAAGTCCAAGGATCTTGTACCGTGCATCACTTTTCAAATCCTACAGCCAGAAGACCCCTAAACTCTGCCTCCTACGAAAAAATTTAGACTTGAAGAAAAGGTTACCAGAATGCCTGCTGACAAGTACAGATCACTAGATTGCATCCACCGTCCTTCTGGACTGCTTTGTGGCATTTGGGGCAAGGTTTCGTGTTGACCGTGATCCAGCTGTTGGTAGCATCCTGGCTCTTCTTCGTCCATAACTCCCACATTCGACACGAGCAAGGGGAATGTGCGTCAGCAGCACAGCTGAAACAGAACTGCAGACCACACTCACACTGAACCTCGCAAACCAGGTCATCAGCCTCGACCTGAACCGCATTCCCACAGTGAGGCACGCTCGGGCACCATTTCACTCTTCTGTTGTCTTCTATGTACGAGTCCAACACAAACTGCTCAAACTTATCCGCCAAATTAGGATCCGCGGACCTCACCAAGTTCCTAATGTGCACTTCATCGCATATGCATTCACATCTTGGTGCCATGCATTTTATTCTTCTACCTTGCCCTTCTTGGATCTTCACAACAAAATGGCGAGTCCAACCTAAACCAAAACCATCATCCATAAACATTCAACTCACTAGACTGCACAAAAGCCCTTCATCTAAACTCAAACCTAGAACCTAAAATTCAACCGAATTTGGTCCAGTGAGCTTACATGCGTCGCAGAAGAAGTGTCCACAATCCATAGCAGTCACTTCGTTGACCGACACCTCCTCGTAGCAAATACAGCAATCGATTATGGAACGCGACTGTACGGCACTGCCCTCCATGTTTCTCAACCCTGCTTTGGAGTAGAGTCTTTCTTTCCCGTGCTCCACGAGGTACTCAAGCAACACATCCACATCCCATCTATAATGAATCAGTAAAGTCCGTGCGTGTTTCTCCTTGACAGAGAAGAACTCCATCACTCTTTGTAAATCCTTCTTCTGCAATTCAACCACAAATGAAAGGGTTCAATAGACAAAACCCTAATAAAAGCAGGGGTCTTTACTCTTTACAGACTTTCTAAATCAATTTCTTTAGACATTCCAGTAAAAATCTCACCTGCGCGGTTAAGAGAGACTCTCTCGTGATCACCTGCAACAAGAAACGAAAAACTACAGATAAACAAACAAACCCAAATTCCCAATTTCGCTATTCATTACTCAATTTGATCGATCAGAGAAAGAGGGGAAAACTCAAAACTACAGTTCTACAACCAACCAACCAACCTTATAGGGAAGAGAAGTATCGGCGCTACGCTCCACACTCTCCGACGGAGACCGACCCGACGAGCATCCGCAGTCATCGTCGTCGACGAGAAAATCTTCCTCGTCGTATCCGTAAGACCAGTCATCACCTCCGCTCGCGTAATCTTCTCCCATTGCAAGCAAGCCGAAATTCAATCCCGGCGGCGGCGACGGCGGCGACAGTGAGAAGCTCGTTTCCAATGGGTTGAGTCGTTCCCGGCAGTGTTTTACTTGGAGCCGGGGCTCCGAGTTTTGTTTTGGAATGGAGGGGATAGTGATTGAGTTTGAGGCGGGTAACCGAGTGGCGCGGGAAGCCGTTTGGGATCGCACACCCGGGAGGCTGCGATCGACCCAGGTGGAAGTTTGGAACGGCAGGCGGAAATCTGTTTCGGTTTGGTGGGCCTGCTAGCGACTTTAACGTGCAAGTTGCTCCGGAAAATCCAGCCTTTGAATCTTCTTTCTTGATTCTTTCCTCATATTGGGAGACCACCAAATTCCCACCATTGTTTAACCACCATCTTTATTCTTTTTTTTTTTTTTGAGAATACGGAGCGCTTAAAGGGCGCCCCAACCTTTATACGATAACGAGACGGGGTGTCTGAACCCCAATAGAGTCATGGTACAGCCAATAAGCAAGAGAACTATCCTGATTTGTGACTCGATGGATGCCCACCGGCAAGGAATGACCTCGGTTTGCTAGGAAATCAGCAACCACGTTCGCCTCTCTATAGACATGCTGAAGCTGGACCTGCCAATCTCGCAGGAGCCATCGTCGGATTGCGGCCACCTGGGAATAGTGTGAATGATGAGGTGTCGCTGAATCGATGAGTGACAAAGCCGTGGTCGAGTCTGTCTGCAGAATAACCTTCTGAATTCCTGCTTCCCAAGTAAGCTGTAACCCATGCACAATACCGGCTAGCTCGGCACTGGTGATGGAACCCCCTCCCAGGTTCATGGAGAAAGCAGTGACAAAACGGCCGTCGTCCCTCCTGACGACTCTCCCGGCCGCCGTGCTAGAAGTGGAAAGAGTCACAGAGCCGTCTGTGTTTAAGCAAGCCCACCCAGGCTGAGGTGGCTGCCACTGGATCATCGTAGGTGTGCGGAGTCCCCCGGCTCCGAACACCTGTTGCTCTTTCCCCGAGGCGTTAAGGATTTGAAGCCGAAGTTGTACCGAGCTAGTCTGAATATGCGCACAGGAGTCCAACTTACCCTGAAAGCAGTAATTGTTCCGATTCTTCCACAGCAGCCAGCACATGGTCGTGAAGAGGGTGCTGTCGATGGAGCGTCCACGGCCCGTCATGTAATGCAGGAGCCATCTCTCGATGCTGGGCTCGAAAAAGTCATGGTCAGGTTCGGCTTGAAGTGCTTCCGCCCATGTAGCTCTTGCGTAGGGGCAATCTCGAAGTACATGTAGGGTAGATTCAGGGCCTCCACCGCATATTTTGCAGCCATCGTCGTTGGTCAGGTGTCTGCGCTTCCGTTCTGCGTTGGTGAGGAGCTTGCGGTGATTGACCAGCCACATGAAAGAGCGCATCCGATGCATCGCCGGGATCTTCCAGGTAGCTCGCCATGTCGGATGTCTATGGAGGTGCGGGTTGTCCTCCTCTCCCAGCATTTCATACGCCGTCTTGAGCGAGAACTCACCATTCGGAGTGAAACGCCAGCATCACACGTCGTCTTCTGTCTCCGTCGGCACCGGGTGAAGGAAAACCTGCGGGCCACATCAACAGGTAAGACATTGTTTATATAATCCCTATTCCACTCACCGTTAAGCACGAAGTCGGCCACTGGAAGTTTTCTCGCTGCTTCGGGAACTGCCTGGGAGTACGTCGCTAAAGGTTCACCGTCATTAATCCAGCGGTCACTCCAGAAGCGGGCGAGGCGACCATTGCGGATATTCCACGTCGAGGCTTCCTCCATTTTGTGCCAAACTCGTAGGACTCCCCGCCAAAGGTTCGAGACCTTCCCCGATCGCCGCGGCACCAGGCCTTCCTCCGTATTTCGCGTGTATTTGTGAAGGATGACCTCTGCCCACAGCTCTTCCGGGTTGGTGATGAGACGCCAAGCGATTTTCAGCATGTGTGCCTCATTCGTGGTAGCATTTGGATCGCTCAAAATATTTGCCACAGTTTCCATCAACTCAGAGGGTGTCGTGAAGTAGCATTTGGATCGCTCAAAATATTTGCCACAGTTAAGACAAAATTTTTCGAGCCCCTCATACTGGATGTAATATGTAACCCCGTGGATTTTGAATTGTGATAACAGCGGTTTAGTCAGATCCACCTGAACACACACCCTAGCATAGTCCAGGCGAGCTCCTGTCGCAGTAGCTTGATCCACCCGCAGCGGTTTGCCTATTCGACTACCAATTTTCATCACTGCATCCCTGTGAAAGAAATGTATCGGGATGTCCAGTAGCCGCGCGCAAACCAAGGTGGACGAAATCTCATGATTGTATGGCCGGAAATGTTTGTCCCACATGTGAACCGTTAAGTAGTTGTCCCCCATCATCCATGGACCACCCGTCAGAGCTCGCTCATAGTCTATCCCGCTTGTAAATCTGACCATATAGTACCCATTTTTCACAGACGATACTTGAATGCCACCCGCCCTAGCCCACAGGTCATTGAGTCTTTTCGAGATTCCCGTGTAGGACACTGAACGGCCTAGGGCTTTGACAACTAGGGCGGACCGTCATTCTCTGCAGTATTGCCGCTCTTCTGCAGCCGTGAAGGGGATGTGTGGGCAGCGTGGATCAATATCTTCCTCGAAGCCTGCTTCCCTTCCATCTTCCCTGATGCTTGCCGCTACGTCTTCGAGTCCGAGTCCGCGACGTACCAAACATCCCTTTTTTGCATGTCGCCGAACAGGCGTCGAGCAGCCCCCACTCCCGCTCCCCATGCGTTTGGCGATGGCGTGTTAGTGCGGTTCTGGCTGCTTGGATCATTTTCTACAGCTATGTCCTCGATCTGGACGTCGTTCATCAGGGGTTCGACTATGGTAGGCTTCACACGCTTCTTGCTTTGCTGGGCTTCCTTGTCCCCCTTAGGGTTTGGGGAGGAGGACGCGGAGGGCGGCCTCCGTTGGCCCGCTAAAGGATCTGCCGAGGGCCAGCCATCCATGGCCTCCCCGGCCGGCGGAGAAGGTTCCGCCGACATGCCCGGCGGAAGAAACCCTAGATGAGAAAGCCGCTGTCAAAATCGCCTCTCCGATAATTGCGGAGTATCGGTTTGAATATTTTTGCACCACTTATTTGGCCAGACGAACCATCTTTATTCTTTAATTACACAAAAAAATAATCTGTCATATAAAATTGCGGTGTTAATATAAAGCTTTATAAGGATCTGATCGGAAGTTTATACAAATGTTTGTATGTCACAGAAATTGAGTGTGTATTATACAAGTCTTTAATAGGAATGTAATGTTACAGGTTCTCATACTCGTTCCGTGGCAGGTTAGTTAGCACCGGGCACAGATCGAGAATAGGTCCATACATATGGTATGTAATTTTAAAGGAAAACATTAGATATTCATTTTTTCATCAAAACTTCGAGAAACAAACTATGTTATGATAAATGTAATTAAATTATTCAATAAATTGAGGTTCTCACCTATTTTTCACTTCATTATAGCTAAAATATGAGGTAATTAAAGTAAAATTCTAAGTTATTTGAGTAAATTTATATGTAATTTAGACAAAAATGAATCGAGAATGAGGCGATTTAAGGAGGTTAGGTTAAGGAGAGTACACATGACCGACCCCGCATACGAGACTTGCATTAATCAGCCCAAAAGATCAAACGGTTTGAGTAAAACGAATCACAACAAAATTATAGTTAATGATAAATTATTGGTTAGTTTGACAAAATTGGCGGAGGAATGAAACACGTATGACTAAAGTCAATATTTTGAGGATGGCTGCCGGCTGGTAGTGTTAGATTAGGGTGCAATGGAAGTTGTTGCTTTGAGAGGATGACTTATAACTTGGGCTAAACAAGCAGTGGCCGATTACACCAAGAGGCGTATACGTCTATGGCTCTTTTCTTTTATGCTTTTGGTGCTTTGCTAACCAAATTCCGTTTTGTTAACTCTATTTTAATGCTCACGTCAAATTCACACTACATCAAGTTGCCGGATGGTGTTTGAATTTTGTATGAGCCTATCGTGTCCCTTTTTTTTGGATTTCAGCATCTTAATGATTTCATGGAAAAAACGACACATGTAATGATTACAACAAGTAATCGTCATATGCAACATCAATTCAACATCACATTTCTTCCAAGCATCTTAGGATGAGATAAGGACCATCCACGTCACTGAAATTCAAACAGTTGTGTTGACGGAGTTGTGTCAATGTGGATGCTCTAACTATGATGCCAATTAAATTCATGAGTGACATTGTTCCTCACCAATTGATGTAGAGAATCCATGTATTGATTGAGTATGAGTAAAACCTATAAAAAATTGATGGGACAAGTTCAATATGGTTTTAGACTCCTTTATTTCGTACTCATATTTATACCCTCCCACAAAGAATGTCTTTATACATATAAAATGAATTTAAAAATGATTGGGTGCTAACAATAGTGGTTTGTATATATATGGTGCCTTCTACGGTGCCCCGGGTGAAATCCGGGATACCGCATACTTTGAGTATGAAAACGGTATCTAGACCTCGAATTAATAGGATTTTTGGGTCTCGTACTATACCCTAATCCTTAATGAGTGAACCCTAGTTCCTAATTATCTAAATCATAATCTATAAACCCTAAGATGGTGCATTGATTTTTTTGTGCCTATATTTGGACGAATCATAACCGTCGATTATTGTTTCTAATTAAATTGATCTTGGAGGTATAAGATTTACAGAATTAAGACCTAGATTTTGATCTTTAAGGGTTAGAGTATAGTATCATGTCCGAAAGATAAGTCAATTCAAGGTCTGGATAGTGTTTTCATACTTAAGGTATGCGGTACCCCGGATTTCACCCTGGGTACCATAGAAGTCACCATATATAATTATAGGGTTAATTGCATGGTTGGTCACTGAGATTACAAAAAACTTTCACGTTTGGTCACTGGAAATATTTAAATCTAATCTTGGTCACTCAAATTATTTAAATGGTTCAAGTTTGGTCACTCTCCGTCAATTTCCGTTAACTCTAGCTTACGTGGCAGTCAACTTTCATAGTTGACCGTTAAATATGTGACGTGGAAATTAAAAAATTATTAAAAATAAAAAAATAATCTTTTATCTTTTCCACCTCATTATTACATTAATTAAAAAACAAAAAATATATATTTCCCCAGGTGGTCCAGCACCAAAACCACTCTCCTCGAGCCGGCCCCTTCCTCCAACGACGCCGGCGCAACCTCCAATTCCTCTGCGGCCGCAGCTGCCACCATTGGTCCAGCACCAAAACCACTCTCCACGAGCCGGCCCCTTCCTCCAACGACGTCGGCGCAACCACCAATTCCTCTGCGGTCGCAGCTGCCACCGTTGTTTCTCTCTCCACTGCGACCAACCAGAAGCTCTCGCTGAGTCCTCTCTGAACTCGCTCCCAACTCAACACTTCATATCCCCCCTCCCCCTCTCCTCCTCCATCCAATTTCACCGCCGTACACAGGTAATTGATCCCACAGAATCGCTCCGCCGTCAGCGGTCGCGCCGCTCCCATCATAATCACCGTCCTCCTCCTCCACAATCCATCGTCGCAGCCGTCAATTTTGAATATCAAAACTTTCCCTGTATCGAACAAGCACCAAAATTTCCCACCCTTGCACCCAATCCCCGCGCATATCCTCCCTTTCCCGAACCCGATCTCGTAATTCGTCCACCATCCCTCGCGGCGGAGGAGCGTGCTGAAACTGGTGTGACAACCCCCGCCGCTGTGGACCACCAGGACCATCAAATCGGGATCCGTCGGAGGGCGGAGAACGCCGCTCTTGTCCTAGCTTTTGTCGGCCTCGACCTCTTCTTCTTCTTATTTCTGGGCAGCTCGATGACGTTGGGCGGCTCGAGCAGGGGATTGAAGCAGCAGAAGATCTCGCCGGCCGAATTTCTCATAAGCCACCAGCCACCGATCTCGTCCCTGCCGACGACGGATGCTCCGGCGAAATCGCCGCGGAGATGGGCCGCGATTTGCTGTGGGCGTGACGTTATCATCGTCGTGTCGCCGCTGCGGAACGTGCAGATGGTGAAGTCGGCGTTGTGGACAAAATATATATATTTTCTTCTTCTTTCTATCAGTGGACAAAATATATATATTTTTTTGTTTTTTAATTAATGTAATAAGGAGGAGGAAAATGTAAAAGATTTTTTTTTAAAATAATTTTTTAATTGCCACGTCACATATTTAACGGTCAACTATGAAAGTTGACTGCCATGTAAGCTAGAGTTAACGGTAATGGACGGAGAGTGACCAAACTTGAACCATTTAAATAATTTGAGTGACCAAGATTGGATTTAAATATTTTCAGTGACCAAACATGAACGTTTTTTGTAATCTCAGTGACCAACCATGCAATTAATTAACCCTATAATTATATATGGTAATGACTGGTGTACGTCAAGCGTATAGTATACAGCAGGTGATCTAACCGTTATATGTACTTAGATGAGCTCAGGCCGATCTCAACGGTCAATTTTGTTTTTCATTAAATCAAACTTCGGGTTGGGATTTAGAAAATAGGTTTCTGATGTTTAACCATTAGAGGTTAGGGTATAGTATCATACCCCAAACTCAATTTAATTCATGGTCTAGATATAGATATCTCACTAGTAGTACCTGACGTATAGTATACGCCCGACGTACACCAGTCTGACATATATATATATGGTGACTTCTACGGTACCCCAGGTAAAATCCAGGGTACGGGTACCTTGGCTGATCTTAACCATTCATTCTCAATCTCCACGGCTCGCGTTTGTTGAACCTAACTGCGCCACTAAATAACTAAATAAATTACAAAAAGACTCCTTACGCGTTAAGATTGTTTTCATTCTAGTCCAACTAACTGCCCCGATTAAATTAAATGGATTAAGACTGCAAACCCAATTGGGTAGACCCACTACCGCCCTAACCAATTTCCAGTCTCCTTAACCAATTACACGATCCCTCACTCTTCTTGGAGGGATGCCCCTTCACAGTTCCAAGAGAAGCTCCCCATCCAATTTGAACTCCCTAACATAATCATCTTTTTGAATCCCAATTCCTTGCATCCACATTCGACGTAGTTTGAATTTCCCCATTTCTTTTGTCTTGTTTGTTCTTCGCCATTTTATTTCCTCTCGCCTATCTCTTTCTAACACGATTACGGCGACCATGTCTATTATTGTGTTCATCAAACTTTTCATTTTGCTAACCCTAGGGTTCATGTCACTAGTGCTTTGTCATCTTGTCTTAGCGTTATTGTCATTTTCTCGAAACTTCTATCTCTCGATGAAATTAAGGTTTCCTGATATGTAGGGATCGTCTCGCTTAGAGGATTGATGAAGAAGACAAAATTTGATTCAAATCGGATGGAGAGGTCGCCTTAACTTGTGTTTATGTATTAACGGTGCGTTTAGGACTAATTCTAGTTGGACTGGGATCCGTATTATTTCTAGGTCTGATCATTGATTTTTGCAGGCTTTTAAATAACATTCAAAAGTGGGCTTGTACATGATCCATGGAATATTCAAAAGTGGGCCTGTAACGTGCGAGCCCATTTCATTTCTCCTGCCGTATCATCTGTTTTTTTGGCCTCGAAGAAGTTACGAAACTACGAGGCTACGACCATTGTTGAGTGCGCCAATTCTAGTTTAACTAGCATGACTTACCCTAGTTTAACCTACACGAGTTACCATCATCATTAAATATCTTCCTTAATCTTCTCGACTCTTGACATTCCACTTACCTCCACAGTCCACCATCTCCATCACCCTCACGTCTCCAGACTCAACCCCCCACGATCTCTTTTTCTTACACCTACATTCTCTCTTTCTTCCGTCTTCACCTTCCCCCAGTTCCTTCTTCCTCCAGACCCAATGGCAAAGAACAATCGATCATTTGCGGAGATGGGGATACTTTCTTTATCCAATGACGACTGCCGATCCACCTCCAGTCTTGGTGTCTATCTCTCGTTTTCAAGCAAAACCGCCACTGTCGCCGAGTACGAGTTCATCCACCCCAGTCCTTTCCCTCCAGAAGTGAAGACATTAATAAAAAATCTTGGCTGGGAAAATTTCTTCTTTCTCCGGAGTCGAGGAAGCACAAGTTACTGCCCCCATGTCATGAGGAAGTTCTACTACAATCTAGAGCTTTCTGGTCTCTCTGATTCTCATATGGTGTCGATCTTCCTCAGACATAGAGTCTGCTTTCAGCCTCATCAATTTGCTGAGATCCTTATCTTCCCGCTGGAGGAGACCCCATTCAGAGCAGAAACGATCTTGCGATGTTGCACGATTTTGAGTTTGAAGTTGAACTATCGAAACTCACGAAGGGGCGCATCCAGGCTTCTTTCCTCCCAGATCCTCTTCGATTCCTCCACTGGTTGATCGTCAACTTCTTCCTTCCAAGGTGCCGTGGTCATTCCATTATTCGTAAACTTGACTTGTTTTCCTTGTGCAAGCTCAGAGAGGTGTTCCTGTTAACCTCGCATCTCTAATGTGCCTGAACATGGTTGAAGCTTCTCCCAAAGGGGAAAACTGGTATACTGCCTTTCCCTATGCCACCTTCGTCGCCACCTTTCTTGAAAGGGTTGGGATGGATCTGAGTGTTTATGTTAAGGAGGACCATTTTGCTTATTTGCGGGTGTACCGTATAGGCGAATTGACTAATACTTTTCTTGAGAATCAGCATTTGGAGCATCAAGAGACCCCTGAGGCCTCCTCAAGCAAACGTCCTCGGCTTGCATGAGAGTCGATTGATGCAGGGCGGGGTGGAGCGTTGGAGCAACAAAGGGGCCAACAATGGATGTCTTTTGTTATCAAGTTTACTAAGTCTTTATTGGATTTTTTTTTCAGTCTTTTGTCTTTTCCTTTATTCTCCAGCACTCAAAACTGTCAGGTACCGAGGGGAGCCAGTACATCATCTGACTAGGAAAGTCTCCTATTTTGATTTCTGAAATGTCCAGACCTGGAATTTTCTATGCATGCAGTATTTTCTGAATTTGCCATGGCTAGGATCCCTAAGACAGGTGACGAGATGCATTAATGCTCATCTCCAATGGTGAAATTTTAGTGACTTGCAAGATGATGTGGCAAGGAGGTGCAATTGCAACTTTAAATTGCATTGATGTGGGAAGCTATTGCAAGGGTGCAAATTTGCATCATGTGCAATTCTTCTTGCAATTCAAATGGACCCGCTGGTGGGCCCTTTTTTACTCTTTATTATGTATTTTAAAGATTTAAGATGATGGAGATGATATATAAATTGTTTAGTAGTGGTAAACTAACATGTTGGTCCCACTCATTGAAATTGCAATTGGATTTCATTGTTGTAGAGAGGATGAAGTTGAGAAGTGGTGTTTTCTCAATATTGTAGAAGTAGAAGTAGGGACTACCTATGAAATTGCAAATAAATTTCATTGGGGGAGATTTTAATCCGCTTTTGTTCTAAGCAGTTCCAATTAGGTCGAAGAATGTGTTGCTTATTTCATCTACAATTTTTCATGGTTTTTGAAAAATTATGGTTTTATTTATATTTGGTCACAAGTATAGTGATGATAGGTGTGAATAGTATGAATTTTAAATGGCTTGATTATAATGAATTTTGATCTATGGTGAATTTTTTTCCCTTTTTTCATCAAGACTCATGCTTCTTTTATTCCCCCGTGAATCTATCATGCTTCGTTTATAGTAAACATACCCTTTTAATTATACACAATAAAGAATCCATTAATTATGTATGCCTTTTTATTATATTTATTAATACAATGAATTCTCTCACTAAAAGGGGAGTTAATACATCGTTGGTGGAAATTCAAGGAATGGAAGCCTTTCCATATCCTAGGAACATTAAATTAATTACCTAATAATTTTCTATCTTCCTTGTACGGGTTTTCGTCATTAATTATGTTGATTGGGAGCCAATCAGTTTTACTTTTTGGGTTAACCAGACATCAATGCTAATTTAATTAGACGAGGGCAATTGGGAACGAATGGAATGATATGATCTCAATTTGACCTCTCTACAAGATACAATGGCTTGAAACAGAAGCAACCTCACTCACAAGCTGGAAGCTGGAATTTTGGTTAAGTCCCTTTGCCATTTCGGGTAGCTCACTTTGGAAGCCTGTTCGTCACGCATGGCTCGATGAAAATGGGAGTTTATTGATTTGTATTGAAACTACGATGTTTGTAAACACCTAGGATTACTTGGGATCTAGAGATCAAGTCCAGAAGGTCCATTTTCAGGTTGTCCAAAAGTGTAACCGGAAAGCTGGAAGTTGCCAGTTTTTGGCTAAGGCAGTAGCTAGGTTCAAGCTAGATACTTTGAGACTCGATTCGGAAGGGATGGCTGCGAGTCGAGTTCCACGATTTGAACCACATTAAAATACATGATTCAGAGTACAACGTCGAGGAATTGGTTGAATGATTTGGACCATGGAAGCCTTTGAACGAAGAGACCAAAGATCGCGTTGAGGCTGCATTTTCGAACGTTGGAAGCAAGTAATTTGAATCCTTGTAGGATTAGGATTCCTATACTATTTTGCATTTGAGTTCTTTCCTTGTTTGTTTTGGGTTCTATTTCGAGTTGTAATAGGATTAGGACATCTTACCTAGTTCTGTAAGCTAGCAAGGTCTATTTAAGAGTTGTTTTGAAATGTAATTCATTCAAGTTTTAATCGAATAAACCCGTTTGTTCATTGAGTTTATCTCGTGAATTTGTCCTTGGTTTGATTGGATTAATTCCATCAATCGAGCGAGCTCTGCATCAATTGAGTAGCCACCTTAATTGTGGACGAGTTGTGACTTACCTACTTGGCATAGGGGTTTAAAAGAAATTTGTTATTGAAGAAGACCCCAATAGCGTACTTGCCTATTTGGCATAGGGTTTTAAAAGCAAACTCCTTTCCGAAAAGTCAATATAGTTTCCACGAAAAAACAAATATAGAAAGCATTCACCAAACCAAAAATGGTTGTCCATCATCTTGAAAACAAAACATAAAATGGTTGTCCATCGTCTTGAAAAAAAAAAACACAAAATC